ACTCATTACTAGTGGAAGCAGTTTATACGTTAAGCAGTTCCTCTCTTAGCTTATACCAACTCATTACCAGTAGAAGCAATTTATACGTTAAGCAGTTTCTCTCAACTTATACCGACACTCATTACTAGCAGTAACATATGTCAAGAGAAATTTTTGGGAAGAAATTCAACGTTTTATATTACATAGGTGACTAATATTTTAATATATCATTAAGGAAAGGCTTCGTTTTGAGTGGTAATAACAACATGTGTATTTTTGAAAACAACAAACGTGCAGAAAGTATTTGAAGCTATTTCATTCTCAATCACACCTGCCATCTGACACATGACGAAGACTGTCACCTGTGATTAACGCTGTCTAGAAAATTTATTAAAAATGCAAGTTGTAGATACGCTTATAACTCTTTAGCTATATGTTCTTTCTTTTTGAAACAATAGTTACAGTTGGGCCTTTTTTTTGTTTTGTTACTTCCAACAAGATATGGATGTTGTAGGATGTTTTTTTTTATGGAATAAAAGAAAAGTTAAATATATCAATTTTCTAATTAAATTTAGTTTAAGAAACTGTTGTTGTTGTTAGTTTTCTTTAGTTTTTTTCTTAGATATCGTATTGCCCCTAATTAACACCCCTTCTCTAATTATCGCCCCCACCCCTGGTATTTTTTATAAAGATTATCTTGTGGGACAGCAATAGTAATCCAACATATATTCTTATTCTGTAATCCACTTTATTACTGTAATTTTGACAGCAGTAGCAATCCAACATATAATCCACTTTTATTACCGTAATTTTGATTTGAAACAAAAAACAAACAAACAAACAGACACACACTTTTATTAGCAATGAAATCAACAATCACATGTGCAAAATAGAATCCGGAACTGCGCAAGTACTATAAAACCGTTTATCAAAATACGACACTGTATTAAGGTTAGGTTTGAAACACAGCCATTTAAGTGTCCCTCAATGTCCATCATATGACCCAAGTAGTCTCTAATTAGCGCCTCCCATTTTATAGTATGCAACTCCCCCGGGGGTTGTTAATCAGGGGCAATACGGTATTATTTTATTATTTAACATCTGTTTTTTTATGTGAATAAAAATCCTTCTACTTTTGTTTAGAGACACATAACAGGAAACGATCAAATTTGTCGTGCGTACAAATGTTTTATTTATCTTACTGGAGTGTTACTGAGATTGGAAAAAAAATCATTTTAGTTTTCAAAATTATATTTCCTAAACCTATTCTTATGTTATATTGCCATCATGTTTTGGAAAGTCCCAAGATAAGCGCATTTATTGCCTGTTATTAATTTGTTGGGAAACATCTTACTTCCACGATTTTCAAGATTACCAGCTGTTTCACCGACTCGTAGATTTGATAATTTCTTATCTTGGTGAAGGTATTAATAGGAACGTTTTGCATTGGAAAATTCCGTCTTTGTATTTCAAACTATGCCCGACATGGCCAGGTGGTTAGTTCGCTCGATTTCCAATCTGAGGGTCGCGGGGTCGAATCCCCGTCCTACCAAACATGCTCACCCTTTCAACCGTAGGGGCGTTATAATGTGACGGTCAATCCCACTATTCGTTGGTAAAAGAGTAGCTCAAGAATTGGCGGTGGGTTGTGATGACTAGCTGCCTTCCCTGTTGTCTTGCACTGCCAAATTAGGGACGGCTAGCGCAGATAGCCCTCGTGTAGCTCTGCGCGAAATTCAAAAACAAACAAACAACAAAGGACAGAAAATATAAATATACGCACACTGGACTTGGTATAATCGAATACATAACAGATGCATATTGACTCGAAGTAATAATACAAAAAACCCGTCTGATTAAGGCTTGCGGCTTTGAATCGTAGTTAATGTTGTTGGTGCTTTGATGGTTAATCTTTCCTTATAGGCGGCGGTCCCATAGACCCACTTCGTTGGTGCATTATTCTGTGTTGTATCATTCCGTAAGCGTAATTTTCAGATTTTACTTAAATTGTTTACTTTGCACTAGTAATTGAAAACCTACAAAAATTATACGCACCATTGTGTCAACGTATTTTTGGTTTAAATTTCATTGACGTATATCCTAACACTTGTCCAAAGATATATATTATTGCTATTAACATTTCTTATAAATGGGGTTCATAGCCTGCTTGTCACACTGATATACTTAGATTAGCTAGGCGATACTTTGAGATAATAGTAATAGAAATTACACCAGCCTTTGTTTTTGTTTGATTTCATTGACATAATTAGTAAGTGGTTTAATGTAACGAAATATTAATTATATAATAAAAGATACCTAGAAAGTTTTGGCGTAGTGGTCGGTGTGCCTGGATCGTGAATCTGAGGGTCCATGGCTCGAATCCCATAACCGCAAAAAGTATCTCCGGGGCCGTGGATATTATATAAGCGAGATAGTCAACTCCTACTATTCGGTCAAACAAGAGTACCCCTAGAGTTGGCGGTGGACGCTGTTGATTAGCTGCCATTCTTTATAGTTTGTCAGTTAAAAATTAGGGACTACTATTACATAGACCTGAGTAGCTTTACTTGAAGTTCTGTGGAGTAATCATTTAATAAATTGAAAATATCATTGAAACATTAGTTTGATTCTGCAACAGGGCATTCAGGGGTGTATTCTGGAATAACGTTTCAATGAACTGTACCATGTCGTGCATGTGGGAAATGACTGTTTATTGAAGTCGTTGAATCGTCGATAGTTGAATATCTTACTTCTTCTCATTGAAGTTTCACCCGTAGACTACTTTCCATACTCAGTATTGTAAAAGTTTCGCATTGCTTTCAAATAATAAAAATTCGGTTTCACCCGTAGACTTCTTTCTTCAAAGCTGTAGCAATGGATATAGCTTTTCTGTACGGTAAAAAAAAAAAAAATCGTTTGTATTTGTTAAGTTCGCACGCAAAGTTTTTAGATGTAAGTTAAAGCTATCTGCGCATGGCAGATAGCTTTAAAATAACCAACCAAACAAACAACTTTAGATATATGAAAATACGATAATAGTAGCAATTTATTAGTTCAGGTTCTTAAACATTTAAAGATGTAAAGAAAGAAATCCTTGTTTGAGGCAAACACTCTTGTGTTTAATTGAAAATAACGCGGAAAATAAATTATCTTTGAGAATAATGAGGGAATGTGACGAAAGAAAAACAAATGTTGTACGGCATTACTGTAAAAAAAAATAAAGTACGGTCTGTCATCATTTATCGTATACATAAACTTTTTCAACTTCAAGTTTTCTCAAATTTTTTCCCCATATAGTACGTAACGCTTTGACGATAACTTGTACAACACGTATTTTTTTTTTCTGTTTGTTGATACTGGAACATTCATTGTCAAAAAGAAATTTAATATTATGTATATATATTTATTTTTCTTACTTGCCTACTATTTTCTTTGGTTTCTTCTGAAGAACGATGCTGTACGTAAACTCCATATACTGTATTGAATTACAGGGCGCTAACTCGAACGGGGGCGCCGATTGACTAACAAAGCGAACTAATGAATCAAACATCAGTACGACACTAATGATTTATACGTATTTCTAGTTTTTATCTGTTGGCATTTGGGGTGTTTGTAGTTAACTTTAGATTAATAGAACCTTCAGTTATTCGACAGTGATCCTGTCATAATGTTGTTTGAGCATTTTTTAAAGTACAACTAAGTTCTTTTAGACAATAGTAAGTATTTTATGATGTATATATTTTTTCTCAGGTAAGAAATGGCGTGGCCTGACGCCACAAGAACGACGACCATACGTAGAAGAAGCTGAGAAGTTGAGGGTTCAACACATGAAGGAGTACCCCAATTACAAATACCGCCCTCGCCGAAGAAAACAGAATTCAAAAAGAGGGGGACGAAAAGGCAGCTCAAATTCTCCTGTTCCGCCATCACCCATGATGAACACCAAGTACAAAATGACCTCTAGGCCAAACGGATATACTCAACCATACCAGCATCTTCATGGCATAGGATGGTCAGCTAACCAACCGGGGCCTTCACCCTTGGGAAACGTAGAGTTTTGTGGTGTACAAACTCCAGATTCTTCCCCGAATGGAAGTCCTTGTTCCGAAACAGCTCCGAAAATGACTAATCACCTAAGACCCCCGGACTACTGTGAAGTATCGACTTTGCCAAATGTTAGTGTCGAGTCTATACGTTCATTGCCAACACCAGAAATGTCCCCGATGGAACCCGAAACAGAAAACCTTTCCTTGCATCGCGTGAAGGAAGAACAAAACCCATGCAACCCAGTAGGCCAGCTCATAGCAAAATTCAGCGACTCTTCAAACTTCCTAAAAGGAGTCAGGCCTCCGTTTCGACACCGCATGAACATGAACGGTGCACATAATCTAAACATGTTAGATCCAAACTTTAGAGCCTTGGGGCTTTTTATGGATCATGGTGATCCAAGCTTTTTTAATCTTGATACACACGAATCCCTCAATCAAAATCATATTCCCTATTCGGCACCAGGGGAGCCTTCATTGCCAATGAAGTCACCATATGAAACGCAACGTCTGCATTGTGCCTTAGAAAACAACACGGACATTTTTTCGATGTATAGACCACGTACCATATCTTTTCAAAACTCTCCAGAACATTCCCTACCTACTAATGTTCCAACGTCATTAGATTCCCGTACTCACTACCAACAGTTTCCAGGATCTGATCCTAACTGCTATTCACAACATTACATGGATTTCATGGATATGGAACAGGATCTAAAAGAACCTTTTACTCTTTCTGCTCCTGCTAATCACCCTTCGTCTTCCTATCAAGCGGAAATGTGTTCTTTTGATGGTTCTCAGGGAGTGTCTTTCCAGAGAGCGTGTGACGAACAAACGACCCCGCGGTTTCCGTATAACCAAACTGACCGTTTTCACTGCCCAACTAGCAGCCAACTGCAAGCTGTTGTTTCTTCTTGTCCCATCTATAGTGGTGCAAATGTGAATTCCCCAATGGAGCAAAGTGGTCCTCCAGGAGAAAGTTACGGTGTCATCGCTGCGTTGGAGGAAACACGACAGATATTTTTGTGAAGTAAAAGAACGTTTAAGTATAGCACCTATAAATGTCTAAAAGGTTTTTAAGTAATGTAAAAGTGTATATTATGACATTTATCGTGGTCCAAACAAAAAACAATGTTGCCTGTTAACAGTATGTTTTGGGCACTCGCGAAACCATTCGTGCCTAATGTAATTGCACTTTTGAGAGTAATAGCTTAAGTATGTGTTCAATGGATCATTCAGGGCGATGGCTACGTATTCACTCTGTCAGTGAATATATTTGTTCACGTCTAATTCGTACAGGTGGCGTGATATAACACACAGCAAAGCTATAAGCTATTCCGTCCAGTTTCCTATTAAGATTTTGCTCAATTGAGTATGCTTTAAAAATAAGGAAAGTATTGTGTATTTGTGTATTTGATACTTCTTTTACTCAGCACATTTTACTGGTGAAGGTTTAAAGATATAAAGTCTATACAAGTTTATTTACTGAGTTTGAAGTTATTGGCTATCTTTGCTGTGATAACGTAACTCGAGTTAACTTGAAAACAATTTTAACAAGTCGATCTTTGAAATTTACAGTGAAGATTCGAAATTTACAACTAGTCAATAAAAACACAATCTATAAAGAGGGACTTCCATGAATAGTAGGAAATAGTGTAAGAGAATGAAAAATTATAACGACCATAACACATAAAAAGATTACTCCAGAGTGTAATTTTGAAAACATTTGCTAATCACAAATGTTACACATAAATGGATTAATCTCTTTGAATTTTTTCCTGTTATGTGTTCAAAATTAGGAATTCTAAAAGCACTGATTGTTACGGAAATCAGTTGTTGGAGAGAGAGAGAGAGTTGTACTTATTTTCATGTACTTGAAGATGCACTGATTGTTACGGAAATCAGTTGTTGGAGAGAGAGAGAGAGTTGTACTTATTTTCATGTACTTGAAGATGCACTGATTGTTACGGAAATCAGTTGTTGGAGAGAGAGAGAGAGTTGTACTTATTTTCATGTACTTGAAGATGCACTGATTGTTACGGAAATCAGTTGTTGGAGAGAGAGTTGTACTTATTTTCATGTACTTGAAGATGCCCTGATTTCCCTTATTTTGAGTTTTATAATTTTCATCATAAAATGTGTGTGTATATATATATATATATAAACTCAAATATTTCTATTCTTTTATTATTTCAATTACTTTGTCTTTATTTATGAAATAGGTTATGGCAAGATTTGTTTTCCTTTAGTTGTGGGATTGCGGTAATGAAATATGACCTTCAGCAGGAATGCTTTGTGACCTTTTTTTTATTGGGAATTATTCTAATTTTAGCTTTTAAAGATTTGGTAGATATTTTATGCATATGCACAAGACTTTATGGTGTAAATTTTGAGATCTGTACAATTTGGTTTCATTATTAACTTTGTTGGTCTGCAGTTAAAAACAACAACAACAAACAAATGATTTCACGATTTTGCATCTTGTTCTGCTTTTATTCCAAGGGTTAAAATGTCGTTCGATAGAAGATACATTGTTGTTGAATTTTATTTTCATCAGATTTTTTCCTCCATAAATAAAGGGATCACGTTGATCCAGCTATATGACGCATTCTTAAAATGCGCGGTTATAGTTTTTAGCTTGCACCTCTAACAGTATGTATGTTGGTGAGTGACTTGGCGCGCGCACACACACAAAAAAACAAAACAAAAAAAAACTGCCATAAAAGAATGCATATTATTGATAAATACAAGCATAATATTAATGAAATAGATTGATATATAAGTAATTTGGCACCGTTGTACAATTTGTTGTAATAAACTGGGAGTGCTTCCAAATAAAATTTGGTAAACGTTGCGTTGTAAGATGATTTTTTTTTCGTATTAAAAACAAACAAACAAATGAATATTTTCGTATGGTTTAGTTCATTCAACACACTTTGAAACTGAAGCTTACTTGCCTTCTAGTGAGTATTATTTAATTACTTTTTTTCCGTCCTAAAAGAAAATGGAAATACTGTGCGAACTTGGATATTCTCGAAGCTAATTGAGATCCGTTATAGAAATTTGGAAGTTTTTAAATGCTACATTCGAAACCCTGGAGCCAGAGGACTTGGCGTGACCTGGAGTTTAACGCGCTCGGACTGTAAATCCGAGGATTTGTGCGTTATGACACATTGACTCAAAAACACTCTCCGCACACTGGGGCCATGGGTATGCTATGAAAGTGACGGCCCTATTCGATTAAATAAAAGTATCCCTACCTTCCCTCTACTCCCTCACTTCAGAAATAGGCTTACGTATCCCTTGTGTAGTTAGCTCGAAAATATGCTTTGCTGAAAGGGAAACAAATCGTTTCATGACAACGTGTTTTAAATTAAGATTTGAAAATGGTTTTGTTTATTCGTCGCTGTCAGGGGACTAATAAAAGACGAAATAAGCAGAGCAAGAAAATTTATAGAAGTCTAATGACCTTTGCTGAAATATCACTTTAAAACAATCTTATAAGATATAAATGCGAAACGGAGAACCTTTCGTAAAAGTCGCACCGTTGGCTAAGCGATAAATCTGAGGGCTTATTAGGGCTAAAAATCTAAAAAACATTATTACGATTCCTGCGGTCAAAGATAGCCTATTGTATAGCTCTGTGCTTAATAACAATGCTTTACGATTTCATGATAAAAAAAAAAAGGTAATTAAACAATTTTTTTTTTCGACACAACAGTGACGTCAAATTTTTTTTTATAAAATCACAACTGAAATAACTACAAATGTAGTCTGGTGTTGTGAAGACTTTTAGCGTCATCGAATCTAATCTAGTTACAGTATTGAACAAGGCAAAACGAGTGAATTTTCCAATGCAATCCAGCTAACGTAAAACAGGACAAGAAACACAAGTTCTGCATGATAAAGTGTAAAATATATGTACGCATAACAGCTGCTGTCGCAATTCCTGCTTGATGTGTCATTTATTAACAGCTTGCTATATATGAGAACGTGAACGTAAAATAAAGGTTTAAGATTAAGGATACAACAAGCAGCAAATAGAAATACCATTTTTATTACCTCTGATTGTATACATTGGGCAATACCATATATGAAAATATTAAATGATCGGTGCTTAGAACACACAGAAAATATAAAGAAACTGATCTATATGAAGAAGAAGCTAAAGGTAATATTTTTTCGTAAGGACAGATATTTCATCCTATGATAATTTATCCTATTGCTAATACCATTTAAGTGCTCCTGTCTCACGTGTTTTCAGTCTGGCTGTAGCCTAATAGTTAGTGTGCCGGTCTGCGTATCGTAAGGTTCAAGGTTCTAGCTACGATGTGCTGTTGAATACGCTTTTCATATTCGGCTGTAAGGACGTTATAATTGTACCAGTCAGTTTACCTCGCTATTCGGTTAAGAGTTAGATGCACGGAATATTTCCTTACCTCCTGGACTCGGTCATTACTTCATGGAGTATTTCCCTGTCTCCAATACTCAGTAAACTGTACACGGAATATTTCCCTATATTCTGGGCTCAATAACTACTACATGGTGTATTTCCCTAGCTCCGTGGCCCTGTAAACTTTATATGGAATATTTCCTTATCTCCAGTACTCAGTAAATTGTACATAGAATAGTTCCCTATATTTTGGGCTCGATAACTCCTACATGGAGTACTTCCCTAGCTCCAGGGCTCTGTAAACTTTACATGGAATATTTCCTTATCTCCAATACTCAGTAAACTGTACACGGAATATTTCCCTATATTCTGGGCTCAATAACTACTATATTGTGTATTTATTTCCCTAGCTCCAGGTCTCTGTAAACTCTACCATCTCTTTGTAGTTCTAAATCTATGTAGGGTATTTGATCTGGGCACTTAGTCCACGTGTCGTATGGGCTGACGTTCAGGCTAAAAATACGAAATAAATTGTGACAGCAGTATGACAAGTTATATTTAGTTAAAACGTTTGTTGTTTAAACACACGCAGGTGAGGTAAAGTAGTGCCATATTTCAAAATATATGAACTAATTACTGAAATTAGAGTAACCGTAAACTTTCAGCTTTTACATTTTAGTGATAATTTTCAAGTTAGCAATGTTATAAATTTTATTTGTTTGAGGAGCAAATATTATTTATTAAATAATGCTAACTTCTTTAAATATTATTATTTTTTTAAATCCATGATGCGTTCTCACCCTTATCACGAGAGCTCAGTAACCAATACGTGGAGTATTTCCATATCTCCAGGGAGAGAGATAAACTCTACATGGAATATTTCCCTAGCTCCAGGACTCAGTAAACTGTACATGAAATACTTTCTTATCTACAGGGCTAAGCAACCACTTCATGGAGTATTTCCCCTAACTTCAGGGCTCAGTAAATTTTACATAAAATACTCTATTATCTCCAGAGCTCAGTAAATTTTACATAAAATATTCTGTTATCTCCAGGGCTCAGTAAACTTTACATAAAATATTCTGTTATCTCCAGGGCTCGGTAAACTTTACATGAAATACTCTGTTATCTCCAGAGCTCAGTAAATTTTACATGAAATACTCTATTATCTCCAGGGCTCAGTAAACTTTACATGTAATACTCTATTATCTCCAGGGCTCAGTAAACTTTACATGAAATGTTCTATTATCTCCAGGGCTCAAACTTTACATGAAATGTTCTGTTATCTCCAGAGCTCAGTAAATTTTACATGAAATACTCTATTATCTCCGGGGCTCAGTAAACTTTACATGTAATACTCTATTATCTCCAGGGCTCAGTAAACTTTACATGAAATGTTCTATTATCTCCAGGGCTCAAACTTTACATG